CCAGCCAAGAGCGACGCTGTACATTGCAGCTACCTACCGAGCCTCTCCTTACTGCGAGCAACAAAAGCACGAGCCCAGAGAGCCGCCTGCATCGGCCGGTGCCGCGGGGTAAGTTCCTATGCCCGAGCCCTAGAGGTCCTACGAGAACCACGCTAGCCTAGAACGGCGCAAACAGCGCCCCGAGCGTCTTCGACGGAGTTTAAACAAAAAGCTTTCAGGCAGGTCAAAAGCAGAAGGCAAGCTTCTAGAAAGTCATTCATTCGACTTGGAAAATACCCGACAGTGGTGTCCAATAGGCTGCTGGGTGTTTCTCCATCATCAACTGTTAGAAATCACCACGTAGGCTCTTCAGTTTGAAGATAAATTTCTGCTGAACAAACACTGACCTTTTAAATTGCTGTTGAAAAAAAGATTTTAGGAAGCCACGTGGCCTGACAACTATGTCTGTAAAGTACCGGAGGCAGGAGACAAGTGTTAGGCTTCACTAGCAACTGCGATTACAGTAATAAAAACTCCACTTGCAGACTGAAGGCCTTATTTGCTCATTTCATTTGTTTTACTGAGGCTGCTTATGCTTTCAAATGCCGTGAGTTGAAGTGAAAGAAGATCCCTATCAACTGATTATTGTTTTCCAGTTAAAATCCAATCAAGAAAACACTGATGAACTGTAATTCTTGCATTCTAAGAAAATTGCTGCTGATGAAACTCATCAGTAATTACGATGTATTTGGCTACAGAACGAGAAGGCTGTTCAGCCATAGCAGCTCCACTCCTGGTAATACCTCACATCGCATTCGCGCAGTTCGATCGATAACGCCAAACCAATTTTAGCTACGTGCATATAGAAAAAAAGAACAGCCCAGGCTTGTGGCTAACGGAAAGTTACGTCCCTCTGTTTGCACACCGGCAGTTGTCTTTGCAGAACTGCGGCTGCTACGCAAAACGCAAAGTCACTTCAAACAATTTCTCATAGTATTAACTCACTGTTGCATCACCCTGCAGAAATGAAGTTGCATTACGGGGGCAGGCTGGAGTTAATACCGTGTTCCTAGGGGCCACAGTACACTCGCCTCACAACCTCCATCGGTTCTGAGTTTATGTACAGAGGAGTAACTAATTGCTGCATAGTGGGGGAAATGTCACATCCAATTTTTTTGCTCCCGTCTCAAGCAGGTATTTTGTTAAAGTGCAAACTCCTCCGAAACGATACCTAAACACCCCAGATCACGCTCAGAAAGAGTCTTTCGAAAAACACCGGGGATATTTTTTTTTTTTTTTTACTTCCATATTTGACAATTACTGCCAAGGAAATCTTCCCAATTCATTTCAGGTTAACGAATAAAGCAAGTAGGCATTTTCAAATACTATTACTTACAGGCCACCTTCTTCTGGAGCGACAGTTCGGACTCATTGGGTACGCAGCCTCCTCACCCTGCCTGTGGCACTGCCGCCGGCAATACAGAGGTGGTCACTAGGGTTTCCTTTGAAGAATACTGAGAGTTGGATCATTCTGCTGAGCACAACGACTAGCAATTTGTTAACGTAGCGACTACTGTAACTACCCTTCCCACGTTTATTAGGCCCTGATTCAGAAAGATATTTACATGCATTTTTACCTTTAAGCATATACTTGAGTCCTAAGTTTAAGTGTTGTCCTAAGTAGCCTCTTACTGTTTTTTCTTTTTCCATCCATAGGAACAAACATGTCCTGCATAGCCACAACAAATACAAAGGCAGTAACAAACCCCCCCAAACCAGTATGAGCTTGTCAAGTTCACCACAAAGCAAACTCTCTGCATACTAAAAAGAAAGAAGGAGCTTTCTTCTAGTGCAGTAAGACTCTGGGTTAAGGACAACATTAGAAATTAAGATTTTGGGTCTTGAACTGAGAGACTTTTTATTTGTCAACAAATTAAGTAAAAAACAGCAGCAGCCACCAGAAACAGTCTTGGCTCTAACTGAAGTGAAATTTGAATGTAAATGGTCCTCCTCCAGAACCAAAGGGGTTGAATCCTTGCCACGTGTTCCAGTTCCTGTGGAAAGGGTTGCCCCCACCCTGCTGGCTCTCCGCATCCAGTGGGTCCTCTCCCGCATCAAACTTCCGCCTCATTTCTGAAGGAAACAAAACCAAGGTGCGATCATGGCACAGTAGTCAGGGCAGTAACACCAAGCATCTTTGACGACCAATAACCAATTCAGACACACACACACACAGAGACACACACACACACCTTCCCCCAGGCCAGAGAGCTGCATTTATCACTTGTATTGGCAGTCTGTAGAATCGAATTACTCCGAGTTTTTCAAAGCTGTCCAGGAGACTGGCACAGAAGAGACTAACACCATGAAAGCACTGTACAAAAAACTTCAAACCAGTCTTTTAGTTTAAAACAAGGCAAGACAGTACCGGGCTGTCCAATGGGACAGGTATGAATTTCAGTTTAAAGACAAGAACTTAACAGATGGTTCTAGTTGAGGGTTTTCTTGCTTTGTAGAGTTGGTTTGTTGGGTTTTGGGGTTTTGTTGTTCCATGTTGGTTTGTTTCCTTATTTTTTTTAAAGGCGGCAAGATAAACACACCAACCTGGTTTTTATTACGTTCTTGAGACTGAGTGGTCCAGCCCCTTCTATTCATCCCTTGAGACAGACATCACCTCTGGTTGAGGGTTTTCTTGCTTTGTAGGGTTGGTTTGTTGGGTTTTGGAGTTTTGTTGTTCCATGTTGGTTTGCTTCCTTATTTTTTTTTTAAAGGCAGCAAGATAAACACACCAACCTGGTTTTTATTATGTTCTTGAGACTAAGTGGTCCGGCCCCTTCTATTCATCCCTTGAGACAGACATCACATCTCCTAGTCACCGCACCACAGGGTCTCCCAGGAGAGTGGCCGCATTCTTCACTTTTTTCCCCCTCGCCCAGAGCTGACCAGCAGCCAGCCAGACCTGACAGGGCTTCTTGCTCCTAGGGACCAGGCCGGCCCCAGGAGCCTGGCCACAGACCAGCAGCGAGGGCATCCTCTCCCTCAGGCTGACAGAGAACTCAGTCCCTTGCCCTCAGGGAAATACTCTGTTTGCACAATGCATCTACAGGCTTTCATAGACACAACAAAGGCCAATTTTGAGGGCTTCTTTGGAGTACTTCAGGTGCTGTTAATCTAAATGTAGTTTGCAATAGAACTTTAGGCAGAAGGAGACACACACATCCTTAAAGGTAGCATCTCCAGAGATGCTCTGCAGAAACCTCTGCAAGACTGTATCCTAAAAAGAGACCTTTGAAATAATCATTTTTGACTTAAACAAAAGCCACCGAAACACAATACATGCCAAGTTTACATCAGACTTCATGCAACAGATGGGATGCAAGTATTAGTGCACCGCGTTCTCAAGATGGGTAAGGGGAGAAAGAGAAAAAGGGAGGCTGCAATGCTTGTGATGGCTTATACTCGCTGCATTTTTACATTACTGTAAAAAAGTAATTAAAAAAAAAAAAATGAAGTCGCTGCATAAGAACAATCATTACCTGGATCAGTGAGGACTTCTTTAGCAGCTGCTATATCAATGAATTTTTTCTCCGCTTTCTTCTTTTCTTCCTCACTCTGGAAGTTATCAGGGTGCCACTGGGATGCCAGCTTTCTGTAAGCTTTTATGATTTCTTGCTTTCGGGCATTTCTGGATGGATAAAATTATAGGTAACTTACAATTTTCTCATTGTCCACATGCCACGCTAGTGAATCTACAGGTTTATTTTAAACACTGAGGCAGTAATGAAAGGCATCAGGAAAATGATGTTAACCTTCTGCAGGTGGCACTGAAGATTCTTTACACAAAAACCAGAGGAAGCAGGCTGCAACTTTAAACAACGATTACTCATTCTTTCCTTCACCACCCATTTACTTTCTTTGGAAAGATGCTACTGCCAGCGACTATGCAGAATACAGTTCCCAGTCTGAAGAATTCACAATCAGATGAGTAACAAAAAGCACAAAGAGTAGAGATTTAGTTCACGACTGGAAGGATGACCAATACTAAGTTGAGAATTGGACATCTGTTTGGTCCTTATTAGAAAGGGAAGTCGTGAGTTTCTCAAGGTTAGCAGCAGAAGTATTTTAGGTACCTTTCAGTTAGTCCCTTCAAACTCTTCCAATCTGTCACACTATCTGCCACGGTTTTGGTTTTGTTGCTTTCAGTAATTCGTTCCAGTCTTCATTTCTTCCCCAATTCATTCACCTGACTCTTGATCATCTATACTAAGAATTTCCTGCCAATGGATTTATTTCCTTCCTTCCTAATGTTGTCTTTTCATCCTTTCTAAAAGAATTGTAAACAAATGATACTTAAAAGCTGCACACTGCTGAACTAGTACAGTAGGAAAGTGAAGGTAGCAAGATACAGGAATAAAACCCAACACTCAGCAGAACAAATCCAAGTGATCAGCCCCTGACGTACTGGTTTAATAACCAACTTTCACATCATCGTCTTGGATATTAGTATCTCACCTTTTTACTCCCAAGATTTTATAGTAATCCCTCTTCTGTGATTGCTTCAGCATCCTCTGGGCACGTTCTAGCCCCTCACGAATCTGCTGGTCATTTTCACTATTGGCTTGAGCAGTCTCATAGTCTTTAATAGCTTTTATAAAAAAAGTGAATGAAAAAAAGATTACGCAACTCTTCACAAACTTCAATTTAAAGAACACAACCACTCCCCAAAACTGAAGTTTTGCTATTACCATGTATAAACAGCAAAACTTATTTCAACTTGCCATCTTTTTTTTTTTTTAAATTAGAAAACCTTGGCGTAGAAAAGATTCATTTTCACATATAAATTGGGCAATCTTCTTTCTTTAGGTTCATCACATTTTTTGGAAAGGAAGAAGGGAGGTTACTAGCAGCAGGTCAGAACACTCTCTAGATACTACAACAGTCACACGGATGAACGTAACGAGCACATAGGACTGGGACGAAACAGAAATCAAGAAGCAAGTTTCAGTGGCTCCTATTTGAAGAGCCCACTGCACAATGTTAGTCCCATACATTGCTGTTCAACTGAAGGATGCATTATACAGAGCCTTTAAATTAATATCCCTTCTCCCACAGCCTGCACTCAATCAACACGATAGAAAGCCTCTTCCTCTTTAATGACAATAAAGATGGATTTCAGATTACCGGTAAGTTCATACTGTTAGTGAAAGACAAATATTTGCTTTTTACTCCTCCACGTAATATGCAGACAGTTATACTTTAAGTGCTTTTTTCCAAAGGCATGCTCTTGCTTTTATTTCGAGTTGCATTTCTCAGGAATGAAAGCAAGAGAAGTGCTGTAATGGATTCATGAATTTTTAAGAAATTCCAGGTCTACACTTTTTATTTTTTTTTTTGAAGTAAACTATATTATTATTGTAAAGTGGTAACTGAATGCTTAAGACACCAAGTTTAAATATTCTTTGATATCAAGATTTATCAAGGGAAGCAACTGCTGAAGTCTTTAATGAGACTGTTCTTTCACTTCTTCTTTCACTGTTATAATCCTCAAAGTCTCATTTGCAGATCCAAGTCTCCTAGGTTTCTCAAGTTCGACAAAGTACTTGCATCAGATTATTTCCAAGCAGATGCTATTTCTCAGCAGGTGTTACATTTGTTTTTCACTGTTTCTGAGCAAGACAGCAGGAAGTGCTAATGAATTTGTATTACCCAGACATCCGATACCACTGCAATCTTGTTTTAGTTATTGAAAAAAATTTCCAAAAAGCATTTCCAGCGCCCCAACAATTTCATATGCTATTACAAACAAAACAAAATTTCTATTCATTTTCACGTCAGTGGACACTGCTGCTCGAACAAAACATTTTGGCTTCTGCTAATATTTTCAATAATTTGTCCAGTCGTTAAAAGAACCAACAAACAGGAGCATGCACAAATGTGTGAGTCCAATGTACGCTGTCAAAACGGATAAAAATAATGAAAATGCAGGGATTTCATTACGCTGCTTTACCGCTCTGATAATTTTAAGTGCCAGCGTACTTAACCTGCTTCACGTAACCATGGGAAGTCCCATCACAACGTCCTGCCAAATGCAGATCAGATTGCTCAACTTCACTGAGCACCACATCATCTACAGCACACACTACTGCTGAAAACCAAGCTGCTCAGGGGTCAAGTACTTGCAACGACAGTACCAGATTTCTCTTTTTTTTTTT